CTGCCTTTGTAATTTGGAGGGAAATAGGGAAGATGGACTGGTTTTGCTCTTTTCATCATCTAACCTGCACCACCTGTCGGAATCCAGTACGCAGCATTGGCAGGAATATACCAGTGATACTGACGTGGTCGCCTGGCTGGGCCAGCCGTGTGTTCTCTCCTTCTACCAACACTGTGATACTTCGTGGGATATTTCCCACAGGCACCTGGTCACTCTGAAGAAAGAAGGGAAAAGACATTCAAACTAAGGGAATATCTAAGATGCTCTTCTCCCCCTTTCCCACTTACTATTCCCTTTACCTCCTAACTCAAGCAAACGCAACCAGAAACAGTTCTCCCTTCAGAACGGGGAAGGCTCTGACTTCTCTCATAGTGCAGTCTTATCCCTTCCTTCTGGTCCTCAAGAAAAAAAATTCCTTTTATTCCTTTCCCTCTATAAGTGAGTGCAGGATCAGGGAAGATGCCCTACCCTATTCTGTCCTGTCTTGCCTTGGCCTATTATTGTTCACCTATCACTAAAACTTACATGTTCTTGCATTTTTAACTCTTGGAACTTAATGAATTTGGAGCCACGAGTCTGTAAGTAGAGCCGTCCTCCTGAGCGGTTGGTCTGACATTCCTGGCTTGGGCACATGATTAGTGGCATGAAAACAGGTGACCGAATCTGGTATAGGGGAAGGAGAAGCACAGAAACAAGTTTAGAAGGAAAAACATGAAAGCATATCTTTAACCCACCTTAGCATACTTCATAAATCTACTAGGAGAGAAATTAATTATCCTGGGCCCTTTAGAGGATAATGGGAAACAGACACCAAAAAGATATAAAAGAAACAAAAGATGAACAGAGCTAATACGACTGAGGGGATGACAGACTGCTTCCTGACATATGACAGAACTAAAAACCACTTGAACTCTAAAGAGGGCATGGCAGACAGGGAATTACAGATGGATCAGCAGACATGGACATGCTCTACAAGTCATAATGACCAAATCTGAACTGGCCAAAAAAAAAAAAGTAAGAATTGTTTATTTTACAATCTCTTTCTGCTCCTCTCCCCCAACACATACCGGCTGATAGGTCTCAGCTCCACACTGGTCACAGGTATATGTAGCCACTACCATCCTAGGTTTAACTTCAGAGACACGAGTCACAATCCCACGCACAGTAACCAACTTTCCTATTGAGTCAGCTCGTACTTCTCTTATCACCCGTGGTTTGCTGCTACTTGGGCCCCGAAAGTATAGTTCACTGAGGAGGAGCAAGAGGTAGGAGGGTCAGCATCAGGACCTCGGAGGAAGGACTCTCCTATTCCCTTCCCACAGGGACTACTCACAATCTGCACATGAGCTCAGAGGGATACTGATTCTGAGGGCTACGGGTGGCTGCAGGGTCCTGGCTTCGTTGCTCCATCATTAGCCGGTGCTCAATATACACATCCAAGACATCCTTGTTCACTACCTGAAAAAGGAAGATAAAAAGTCAAAATGCTAAACTCTTATGTAACTGCTTAGAAGGCATCAGTGTCTAAGTAGAAGCTCTCAGTAAATGGAACATCTCTTCTGCCCACAGCCTTCCTTGCCTCCTTCTCTTTGTACTGTGGAAGCAGCTCCTGCACCGCCTCAGTAAAGAGCTGACTATACCGCTTCGTGTTCTCAGAAATGGAATCCACTAGCTCAGGGTCCTCTTCTGCAACATCATCCAGGTCCACATACAGAGCTACTTGCTCCCTGTGAGCTAGACGTACCTGCAGATGCAGGAAATAGACACCAGTTATTGGTCAGTCACCTTCCATAAACCCTTATTCAATTTAGAGAGTCCAAAAGATAAGAATTTGTCAAGTAAAACTGGGCAATCACAGAATTAAAGGCCAAACCAATAGTCAAACTACTTACATAGTAACATCTCAAAGAAGTGGTCATCCAACCTTCAACCTGGAAGATCTCTGGTGATGTCTACCTTCAGCCTGCTCCACTTTGGGCTAATCTAATTTTTAGGAAATCTTTCCTTAGACTAAGCTTAAATCCTACCTCTTGGAAACTTATACCCACTGCTCCTAATTCTGACCTCTTAAGGCCAAACAAAACAAACTTAGTTTTGACATGATGGTTCTTCAAGTATCTTCAGATACCTGAAGCCAGTTATCTTAGGATCACAGATTTAGAACTGAAAGGAACCTTAATGGTCATTTAGTCCAATTTTTGTATTTTACAGGAGGAAAACTGAGGTTCAGAGTTAGGTGACTTGCCTGTGGTCACATTATCTAGTATCAGTGATCAGTGGCAGAATATGAACTCAGGTTTTCTTGACTTCATGTGTAGTACCCTGTTTTTTTTTTTGGGGGGGGGGGAAGGCAAGCTGGACTTGCCCAGAGTCATACAACTGGTGTCAAGTGTCTGAGGGCAGACTTGAATTCAGGTCCTTCTGACTCCAGGGCCGGTGCTCTGTGCCACCTAGCTGTCCCTATGTAGTACCCTATTCACTATACCCTGCTGCTATGTCCCCCCTAAAGCATTTTCCCATAGGCTAACCATCTCAAATTCTTTTAATAAATGTCTATGACATGATCTCTGCATCATCCTCATCATCTTTCTCTAGTCTTAAGTTTTTGACCTTCCTAAAACTGAACAGAATACTTTAGATGGCCTGAGTAGGACATGAACAGTAAGATTAGCAATTTGTTCTGGATATTTAGCTTCTCTTAATAATTGTACTAAACTTTCCAGTTTTCATTATCACTAAAAAAAAAAGTGCTACTCTTCCCAACAAAATGATACCATCTGCTACGCACGGGCAATTAACCTCATAAGCTTCCTTTCTAAACAACATCTATATTTCAGTTTTCACTTTCAGTTGCCAATAGACGGGGTGATGCCATGTTGCACTAATGACTCATGTTGAACTTTCAGATCACTAAAACCTCCTATACCTCCATCTTTTTTATTTGAATTGTCTATCCACACTGCCCTTTTCTGACCTTAAAAGTGTAGTTTTTCAAAGTAATCTTCATTTTCACCTGTCTTCCCACTCTGCACTCATGTGATTTACTCTAGTGGCTCCCTACCTTGCATAATCAGTTCATCATCCCAACAGAGTCCAAACTCTGGAGAACTACCATGACCCATGGCCCCCGAGTAAGTCAAGCTTTTGTAGTCCAGTTACTTCTAGGAAAGCATAGAGAATGAACTCTCAAGTCTCATCCCTGATCTGTGTACCTGTCCTGGTTTTTCCTTTAATCACCCATCCGTGAACTCACCAGTTGGTCCCCATACTTGAATTGTTTCTTGCCAAACTCATCATCCTGGTAAAATTCTTGTAGAAACTTCTTAGCTTTCTCTGTTAGCAAAAAGACAGAATATTACTTTTTTCTTCTTAGTCCTCCCTATGGAACCCCTTGATATTAGTATTCATCTACTCTGTATCAAAACAAACTGACTGGAAGAAGTCATCACAGATCTGATTCTCAAAGGAATGAAATAAGATTACCAGGTAGTATCCCTTTGCTTCTGTTAAATGTAGAATGGCCCCAAAATATTTCATGTTGGGGTCACTATCGTTTATGCCAAGGGTACCTACCACTGAAACTCATCTAACCAGACTGGACTTTTCTTCACTTTTTGTCTCAGTCATATTCTCCTTACTCTATTTCTTCCCTACCGACAAGTTTCTAAATCCCCAAGATACCACATGTCTCCCAGCACTCAGCTTCCCACTCCTAAAAAAACTTTTATTCCTCTTCCTCCGATCCTCCTTTTCAAAGCTAAAAGGTTAGCCCATTACTCCAGCCTTACCTTTTTCACTAAGTCCCTAGGGTTCCAACAGTTTCCATTCTTTTGTAAACAAAGAAGCACATGGCGCCAATCACAACCACACCCCCCTCTACTAACCCTCTGATCACTCAGCCCAGAGAAGTGCCCGAGATCCCAGACAGACCGTACACTACGCTGTGTCCTCAACAACTTCCTGTCCATGAGTTCTTCAGGATGCTGCCTCAACCTAGCGCCCTCCCTCAACTTATCCGGACTTCATCAGAGCTCGCCCCGCGGAAGGAGATTATTTACATAGTACCACTTTCGAACAGAAGCACCGCACTTCCGCCTGCAAACGTCACTTCCGCCTAGACGCCCAGGTCCATAGCTAACACTAGGGGCTCGGCGTGTCCCAGGTTCTGATCTCAAGAAAGGACTCGGTGACTACGGGGTCGCATGATGGAATGGGTGGCTGCTCCGGGACCAGAGCCTCTCACTATGCCATCCGCAGAGGGGACAGGGATATTTTCCGCTCCTGCCCTGCCCTCCATACCCTTTCTCTAGCGTCCCAGGCCTCGCTGTCATTCCCTCTCCTCCCGCTCCCATCTCCAAAGTCCGGCCACCTCCCTTCTCCTTTGAGTTTGCCCTGCCCCTCCCGAGTGCCCCCAGAATCTCCCCCTCCAGCCCTTCAGTACTCCTGCTTGCCCCCCCAGTCCCTAAAGTCTCTCTTCTCGTCCCGTTCAGTTAATCCCACTCCCCTGAATCCCCTTCCCCGCCTCTTAGCCCAGCTCCCAGCCCACTTTTCTCAACCTCTAGCGTCCTAGATTCCCACCGTGGGCTCTTGCTGCGCCCCCTTTGACCCCTCACCTTTTTCGGCCGCGTAGTCCTTAGGAGCCATAGCTGCCGGCCGGACGGGCAGGGGGTAGTGGTGCCCTGAACAGAGCTAGCAGACCTTTGGCGGAAGGCAGTTGGTGGGATCTTGAAAGAGGAAAGAGGGGAGAAGAACCGGCGCGCAACAAACTCGGGGGAGCAACCGAAATTGGCGCGAAACGTCCCTGTCCACGTGACCGACGCTCCTCATTGGAGCCAATAGCGAAAGGAGTGTTTGCCGCCGCCGCCGAAGTTCCCGCCCCCGAGGGTGCGGCTCGACCTGAGACCCCGCCCCAAGCGGGAACTGCGAGCGTCGCCCTCTCCCTCTCCTTCCTCCGCTGGTCCGCCAAACTTCAGCCAATCAGGGGCCAGATCGGGAGGTTATGCCTAGAGAGGCTGGACTCTGAGAAGGAAGAAGGTGCTGCTTGAAGCCGGTGTCCTGTCGGTTCTGTGTCTTCTCCACGCCGGCAAAGCCTGTTCTCCTTTTCCCCCGGAGGGGCCATGATCTCCCAGCTCTTCATTCTGTCCTCCAAGGGGGACCCTCTCATCTACAAGGACTGTATCCTCCTACCCTTGCGCCGGGGGATAGAGGGAAGGCGGCCAGGGAGGGCCCGAGGGCGGTGGGCGGCAGGAGCCTCGTAGAGACGGGCGGTGGGCAGCTGGGTCAGAGCGGTTGGCGGCTTAGCCTTGGCTCCCCTTAACCCCCATTCCCTCAGTCCGTGGAGACTGTGGAGGCAGTGATGTAGCCGAGATCTTCTACAGGAAGGTTACGGAGCTGCCAGGGGACCAGCCTCCGGTGGTCATGGTAACAACCCTTCGGGGCTCGGGGTGGGACCTGGGATGTCCGTGATCGGTCACACTGGGGTTTCCGGGAGATGGGTTGGTTCCCTAGAATATCCTCCCAAGACTCCCATCCCCATGGTTTTGATCTTTGTGCTTTTTAACTCTTTATTCGTGTTCATTCCTCCACTCCACTCTCCAATCCCAAACTATCACCCACCCACCCCAGCATCACAAAGGCTACCACTTTGTCCACATCCGACACTTCAGTCTCTACCTTGTGGTCACCACCTCAGGGGGTGTTTCCCCGTTCATCCTCCTGGAGCTGTTATCAAGGTGAGGAAGGTGACAGAGAAAGGGGTTGGGGAATTTGAGTTCAGAAGACTCATTACTTCCTCTCTTCCCCAGGCTGGCCACCCTACTAAGTGATTACTGTGGCTCCATCAGTGAGAAGACTCTCTCTCTTAATGTGGCCCTTGTTTATGAACTCTTGGATGAAGTGCTGGTAAGGAACAGAGGCTGAGAGCCCAGAGATTTCTCCCCTCATCCAGTGATATGTCCCTTTTTTGTTAGAAGATTTGATCCCTTTCCGTTCTATTCCCACACACCTCTAACTCAGGCATACAAAAACATACCCTTTCTATTATAGGACTATGGCTACATCCAGACTACATCTACAGAAATGCTGAGGAACTTCATTCAAACTGAGGCTGTGGTCAGCAAGCCCTTCAACCTCTTTGAGCTCAGCAGTGTTGGTCTGGTTAGTGAAGGAAAGGGATAAGTAGGTTTGGGGAGATGAGTTGAGGTTTAGCTAGAGAACTAACTACTTGTGGATTTTTTACAGTTTGGGGCTGAAACACAACAGAGCAAAGTGGCCCCAAGCAGCGCAGCCAGCCGTCCAGTCCTAACTGGCCGCTCTGACCAGGTGACGAAGGATATCTGTGTTATCAAACATCCATGCATTTGAACCCATATATCCAACTTCCCAATGGCTTGCCTATTCCAGCCTCCCAGATTCTTATAATAATCCCCTATTTCATGAGACCCAAATATTTATTCTCCCAATCTTTTCTACTTCCAATCCCTGAGAACTAGGCATCTATTTACTCCAGATCCCTTTTCTTTTCCAGAGTCATAAGAACGACGTTTTCCTGGATGTAATAGAAAGACTCTCAGTGCTTATTGGATCCAATGTAAGTTTGAGTCCTCAAACTCAATTCAGCTAAAAAAAATTTAGTACCTATTAGGTACAGATTCAGAGACAGTATGGTGTAGTGGATAGATAACTGGTCTTAGAGCCAGGAAGATCTGCCTTCTGATTCAAAATAGCTGTGTTACCCTGGACAAGTCATTTAACCTCTTGGTGCCTTAGACAACTCTCTAAAACTATAATTTGAAGGATAGTTGCTAGATAGCATTGGAATCAATCAGCAAGGTTTTATTAAGCACTTAAAGTGCCAACCACTGGAGGAGGGAGTTTCCTTACTAGAAGTTCCCTACACTAAATAAATCACAGGACTGGACCAAAAATTAAAAACAGAACTCTGGATGAGGCACTAGGGAGATATGAAATGAAGACAACCTGTCCTATTCCAGCCCTGGAATGGGAGCACATCAGGAAGGTATAGGGAAGCCAGGGCTGTAACTATCCCCAGTGGTGACACATGGGCCCTAGATAAAAAGTTCATCCTGTGTACTTTCCCTCAAGTTGATTATGAGGGAGTGAGGAAGACATCAAGCAACATTACAAAAGTTCAGAATCTTCGAGGTGGAAGAAACCTCAGAGTCTGTCAGGTTCAACCCATACCTGTACAAGAATCCTTTGTGTGTTATCCATAACACTTGATTATCTAGCCTTCACTTGAATATCTTTAGCATCTGGAATCACCTCCTTTCTAAGGAGCCTATCCCATTTTGGGATAGTTCTGTTCCTTCCTTCCTTCCTTCAGTAAGTATTAAGTGCTTGCTATGTGTGAGACACTGCTAGATGCTGGAGTTAGGAAGACAAAATTAAAAACAATTTCTGCCCTCAGGGAGCTCAGAGCACTAAGTAGGGGGGGGATCCGGAAAGACTTTCTATAGGAGGTAGCACTTCAGTTGAATCTTGAAGAAAGATAAGGATGCTAAGAGAGGAGTGAGGAAGAAGAATACTTCAGGCCTGGAGGGCAGTCTTCACAAGTGCTTGGAGGTGGGGAAGTGGAATGCAATGAGTCTGGGGTATAGTTAATTGGGTTTATTTTAACTGGAGGCCAGCATGGAACAGGGGACTCTGCAGTCAGGACCTGGGTTTGCACTCTATCTCTTGACACTTAACTAGCTGTGTGAACTTCACCTCCCCGAGCCTCAGTTTCCTTCTCTGTAAAAGGAGGAGGTTGAATTAGCTAACCTCTATGGACCCATCCAGCTCTAGCTCCTCGGAGCCTGTAACTGTAGAACACATGAAAGGGAGTAGTGTGAAGTGTTAGAAAATTTTTCTTTACATTGAATTACATATGCCTTTCTACAAATTTCATCTTTTGCCCTCTGGGGTCAAGCAGAAAAAGCCCTAATTCTCCTTCTACATGACAGCCCTTCAGATACTGGAAGAAGTGATCATGTTCCCCCTAAAATCTTTTCATTTTCAAATTAAGCATCCTCATTTCTCTTAGCTGATCCTTGTATGGCATGGTTTCCACCTCCCTCACTATCCTGTTGCCCTCTGGATAATCTCCAGCTTGTCAGTATCACTACGTCAGCTGTGATCTAATCAGGGCATAGCTCAGTGGGACTCATGCCAGCTTGCCAACATCTTCTTTGATCTTGACTTTGTCATCCAACCTACTAATTAAATGGATTTGATGGGCATTGATAAGCATCTGTTCCTTTATCCAAGTTATAAAAGTTTTAAGCAACATAAAGCCAAGGACAAATCCCTGGAGCATTTTGTTGGATACCTCCCTCCAAGACGTCATCATGACTATTCTTTGAAAGACTAGTAAGTCTTTCAGCCATTTATAAATCTACCAAGTATTATCTAGTCCATGTCTTTACATCTCATCCATAAAGATAGCATGAGAGACTTGTCAGATGCTTTACTGAAATCTAGATGTACTGTGTTGACAGCATTCTTCTGAAGTAATATTATCAAATAAGGAAATAGAGATTAGTCTTGTATAACCTGTTTTTTGTTAAGCTATGTTGGTTATTTATGATCAAAGCTCTCCTTCTAATGTACATCCACAAACTACCCCTTTAATGCTGTGTCCTAAGAGTTTTGCCAAGATCAAACAAAGCTCACTTGGCTTTAATAGTTTGAAGAACCCTCCTCCTCCTCCCCCTTCTCTTCTTCTTCAAGGACATTTGTCTTTTTTCAGTTCTGCAATATTTTCCATTCTCCTGTGGTCTAGTAAAAAGTACTAGACTTAGATTCAAGAGAGAGAGAGACCTGGTATTAGCTATGTGACCTGGAGCAAGTAATTTAAAATCTTAGAACTTGTTTCCTCTTTAAAATGGGAGAAACACTGATAGTACCAACCTCACAGGAATGGATTATTTTGTTTATTTATCTGTGATCTTATCCCTGTAGGGAGCTGAGGAAACTTTCCCCTCTACATCAGCTTCTCTCCCCCGTGGAGAAAAAACTTGGGATTACTAGAGTGTCTCCCTTGAACCTATATCATACCTTGCTCAATGCCAGCAAAGGCACAGGCCCACGTTACTCCTTGGTACAAATGGTTCCCTGATGCTCCATCTCTTCCCACCTGTACTTCTTGCTGCATTGCTCTCATCAAGGTTCCATTTTCTGTCCTTTATTGCCCTTTTTACAAACTACATAGTGCTAGCTTCCCAAAGCACATGGGTCTCAGAATAGCCCAGTGTGTGTGTCCCTCCTTTTATGGACCACACATCCCCTATATGCAGGAGAAACTTTGGGAGCCTTCAGTGAATCAAAGTGGAGAAACTTACCAGCATGTCTACTATACTTGGATTGTGTTTCCCATGATTGACTGGATATATCTACTGTTATTTTTCCAGTGTCATAGCTATTACTTTCTATGTTTTCTACCTTAAAGCTCTTGCAGATGTGCAAGAGTGTATAAATATATATTTAGTAGCCCTTGTTAGGTACATGCTGTCCCTCATTAGGATACCCTTTTATTTCAAGCCATAGTTCAGAAATTCAAAGCCATCTTCTTAACCGAACTGTTTAGCTACTTCCCAAATTTCCCTGTCTCCTGAAGTTCTTGCCTTTAGTTTTCAGTAGTGATAAAAAAAACACTTGTACCCCTAAAATCTTCAGTTTATTACCCAGAACCTCATTAATTCTAAATGTGCTTTCTAGATTCCTTCTGGTGGTGTCATTTATTCCTCATTTGAATCACCAGGAGTGAGTAGTGGTAAGGTTTGGTAAGTCTTGAGAGGCTCAATTATTTCCCAATTAAGTGCTGTAAGAAAAGGGTAAACCTCAGTTTTTTTTAAGGCAGTTGGGGTTAAGTGACTTGCCCAGGGTCACACAGCTAGTGTCAAGTGTTTGGTCAGAGGCCAAACTTGAACTCAGGTCCTCCTGACTCCAGGGCCAAGCCTCTATCCACTGCACCACCTAGCTGTGCAGTTTTTTTTTGTCAGGTAGACATATCTCTCATGTCCAAAAAGTTTCAGTGCAGCTTTAAGCTGTAACAGCCCTCTATCATTAGCTGCTTTTGTGCAGACCTTTCAAGAGTCACCCTATTTGTCTCTCCCTCAGATGCTCACTGGATAGTGCAGCCTGTGAATCCATGCTCATACTATTTCAAACACAACAAGCATTTATTAAATGCCTACTCTTAGCTAGGCATTAAGGATGCAAAGACAAAAATGAAATATGAGACTTAAAGGATTTACATTTTATTGCAAGAGACTATGTATATCTATGTGTGTGTGTGTGTGTATATGTATGTATATATATATATATATATATATATATATATATATATATATATATATATATATATACACATATATGTATGTTAGTGTTACACACACACACACACACCACCCCCAAATACAAGACAACTTCTAAGAGGGGTCACTAGCAACTGAAGAGATCTAGAAAGGCCTCATGTAGGAAGTAGTTCTTGAACTGAGATTTGAAGAAAGCTAGCACTTCTAAGGAAGTAGAGGGGTGAGGAGTGCATCTGGCATGGAGGTGGGAGATTGATGCTGTGTATGTACCACAAAGTGCATAAAGGAGAAAAATGTCTAATAAGTCTGAAAAGTTAGTCTGGAACTAGGCAGCAAACAGGCCTTAAAGGCCAAACAGAAAGCTTGTTTGTAATTACAGAAGCAGTAGGGAATCACTGGAGATTGTGGAGGAGTGACTTGGTTAGAACTGTTATTTTAGGAATTTCACTTTGTGAGCTGTATGTGGGAAGACTGTATTGGAGGGTGGAAGTTTAAGGCAGGGAGAATGTTAAGACTAGTGCAATAGTCTAGGTGATGGTTTGAATCAGGGCAGTTGTAGTGTGAGTAGAGAAAAGGAGAAAAGCATCCAAGAGATGCTGTGGAGGCAGGGACTTACTATTCCTGGGGAAAGCTTCATAACTGTTAACTCCGTATTCACTAGCCCTTCTGTTCCTCCATAGTATCACCTTTTACATTTTAACTATGGGATCCAGATCAGGATTCCCTCCTTAAACCCTGAAGCCCTTCCATTTTTTCAAGAAACTTCTCATTTTCCTTAATAATCTAAAAATTAGAAAGGCTTTCCTTCAGCTTTTACCCTGTCTTCTTGGAGGAAAAATCTGCATTTGCATATACCTGTTATAGCAAAAAGGCAAATGTAGGGTACATTATGTACAAGTCAAATAGCAAATTTCATTTGCCTCCCTAAATTCTGGAAGCAAGAACCTTAATCTTTGTTCTTTGTAGTTCTTATAGCCAATTCCTATGGCCACCCACGTCTATTTGCCCAGCTAGGAGCTCATTTGTGCCCGAGTGTCCTGTTTGGTAATATCCACTGTTGCTCCAAAGTTTCCAGAACACCACTGCACTTTTTTGTCTTCAGGGACCTTCTTGTAGTGTTGAATCCACAGATGGAAAAAAATCTATGCCCTGCCACTTAACTGACTGGCCAGTAGTTAAGCTACCCAGTCATATTTATGGAAACGGGAATAATCTTCCCCTTCATTTTTGTGTTCTGCATTTCTGTTGTTCCATTAGTAGTATAAAATTCCTGCTTAAGACTTGATGAGAAAATAGCTGTGTAGCCAAGGACGTGAAGATAATTATGGATACTTTTTCTTCTCCCTTCCCCTTAAACTCTTAGGGCTCCCTGCTGAAGGTGGATGTCCAAGGTGAAATCCGACTCAAGAGCTTTCTTCCAAGCTGCTCTGGTGAGAAGTATGAAGGCTAGGTTTCCTGGGACTTAAAAGGGGATGTGGAGAACAGGGAGTAAAGCATGTTGGGAGGAACCAGGTACTTGAGACTTGCAGGGAATAAGCCTGCCTCTTATGATGTAGTCATTACTAACATGCCTTTCTTTGACAGAAATGAGAATTGGCTTGACTGAGGAATTCTGCGTGGGCAAATCAGAATTGAGAGGTGAAGCACTAAGGATCTTCCCTACCCCATATACACTTGGATCAGTAATACAGATATAACAGGGAGGTGTTCAGCTTTCTCCATGAGCATTTGCACAGAGTAGGGACTTTGACTTAATTGAAGATAGACCCTCCCCTACCCCCACCCCACCCCACCCCACCCCCAAGTATGGAAGGCACAGGCATAGTAGAGGACTCTTCTTTCAGTGTAAGTTACTGGTTAAGCATGGTATTTATTATTAAAGGTTGGGGCGGGGGTTCTCTTTTCTTTCAGGGTATGGGCCAGGGGTACGAGTGGACGAAGTTTCATTTCATGGTTCTGTTCGACTGGATGAGTTTGAATCCCATCGAATCCTTAGGCTGCAGCCATCTCAAGGCGAGGTCAGACTGAGGTGGACCAGTGCTCCACAATAAAGAAGTACGGGGAGATTTGAGGGGAGATGAGAAGGGCCCAGGCTGATATGTGTTTCCGTGTTTACAGTTGACCATAATGCGGTATCAACTCTCCGATGATCTTCCTTCCCCACTCCCCTTCCGGCTCTTTCCCTCTGTGCAGTGGGACCATGGTTCAGGCAGGTAAGATACTGATGCTGTTTCAGAACTACATAGCTTTCTCCCCATTCAAGATCCAAAGCTCACCCTGAATACAAAGAGATAAGGGGAAAGGATGACACTTCTATCTTTATTCCTTACCCAAGGCTACAGGTTTATCTGAAGCTCCGATGTGACCTACCCCCAAAAAGGTGAGTACCATAAATAGCAAAATAGTGCTAGCTTTGAGGTAGTGGACAGGCTGCAACCTCAAAATTGTCCTTTCCCCTCGTATCTTTCCAGTTGCCTTCTTTCAATTAAATTCCATTTCAGTCCATAGGGTGAGGGCAACCTGGGCCAATCCAATCCAGTGGGACATAAGCAAGGAGGGATGGGGGAATGAGGAATGGAACTAACAAGGCTTTGTTCATTTATGACTATTCCAGCCAAGCTCTCCATGTCAAGCTTCACCTCCCTCTTCCCCGAGGAGTGGCCAGGTCAGTTGTGGGGAATGGGAAAGACTGATACCCTATCAGACTTCTCTGGGAACTTAAGACTATGGGGTAGAAGATGAAATTGGATAGTGGGGAATGGTAATTTGGTAAATGATATTTGGTAATGGTAAAAAGTAAATGCCCTTAGAGGTAAGCAAGTTCTTATCTACCCTTTCATATCTCTTTAACTTCTAGTTTATCTCAGGACTTGAGCAGCCCAGAACAGAAAGCAGAGTTGGGTGAGGGAGTACTTCAGTGGGACCTTCCTCGGGTCCAGGGTGGTTCCCAACTCTGTGGCCTCTTCCAGGTATTGACCACTAAACATTGTTCTCCTGACTTCCATAAGCCAATTCCCAGTTCCTTTGATCCCTTCAGTGTGTAACCTCTGTCCCCTCCCATAAACCTCACCTCTACCCATGCTTTCTTCTTCCCAGATGGATGTCCCTGGACTTCCTGACCCCCCAAGCCCAGCCCCTCCTCTGGGCTTAGGTCCTGCAAGCCTCTCATTCGAGCTGCCCCGGTACACTTGCTCAGGACTCCAGGTTCGGTTTCTTCGGCTCACAGCCCCTGGAACTCCTGGCAACACTTCCCCACATACGTGGGTGAGACACCTAAGCCACAGTGATACTTATGTCATCCGGATCTGAGACCCAAAGTGGGAGGGCTATGTCAACCTGCCTGTGGAAAGGAAGAATGATGGAATGTTTCTACCACCACTGTCACCAGCAAAGAGAGTTGGACACATAGGTCCTGGCAGGGTAACGAGAATCTGGCTCTAGTCCTCTTTCTTGACTTTAAAAGAACTCAGGTAGATCTGTGGTTACAAAACTGAACTGTTTTATTTTGGGGAGGGGTCTGTACAGTGGGACATATCTGAAGACAGCTGATGGGGAGAGGTGACTACTCCTCACCCCAAACCAAAATGTAATAACATTAATGAGAATTTCTGTTTGAATGTGAGAATACCATTTTGTAGGAGCCTTTGTATGAAGCTTTCAGGGGGTAGGCTGAGGAGAGCTGGAACTAGAGGGATGTGAACCATTAGCCTTAGGAGTACCAGGAGCTGGAGGGGGACTATCCCCAGTATCCTGTTTTGCTCCAGAAAGGGAGCCACCCGCAAGGGGAGAAGGGGAAGAAGACGATGGAGGAGGAGCTGGAGAAGCATGGGAAGTTGGCCCTCCCTTGCCTTCCCCAGATGGTGGAAGAGATACAACAATGTATTTCTGGACACTGCCTGCCCCTGAAGGGGCTTGGCTAGGGGGGGCTGCTGTTGCAGTGGAGACTAACTTCACAATAGGCTGGACACTGGGGACTGTGGTGGTGACAGGAGAGGTAGTGGTAGAGCCAGAGCCAGGGGCTGCTGTGCTAAGAGACAGGACCTAGAGAAGAACAGATGGGACTAAGTTAACACTGCATCTTCTAAGACCCAACAACTCCCATTTTTCCCATTTCACTTTCTCCATTTAGTCCTTTTTTTGTTCTTATAGAAGATAGTAACTTGAAAGAATCTGTGCTACTAAACCAGCTTCAGTCAGATGTGGCCCACTACACACAATCCATCAGAGCCTTCACCTTTCACCTCTTTCCTATGAAGATGTTTTTTCTTAAAATAAACACCCACAAACCTTAGAAAGCCAGTGAGAGAATAGGAAAACCACATATATCCCATACCCTGCCACAACAACCCCAGTTTAAAGCTATTTCAGAAGCCTGAAAGGCTGCCAGGTGGAATAATCTTATATTGCAGCAACCCAATCTGCACAAGGCAGGAATCTTGAAGAACAGTGTAGGAAACAAATAGTCTCAACTATTTTCTAGCATGCCAATGATCTTGCTCAGGGCCAGGTAGTATATCCCTCCCCAGTCCCACTAGCCTTCTCCCCAAATACCTGCTGTGAAGACGAGGCACCAGACGAAGACGACATGACTATGAACTTGGTTGGAGGTGGGGAAGGCTGGGGGGGCGCTGCAGCCCTTGCAGACACTAGAGTCTGAACAGGTAATGCAATGGAGCCAGGAACCTTCAGCAGCCCAGTGGTTCGAGGGCCTGACTGGGGGGCTTGGGAGAGTGTCAGTGTAGGCCGGGGCTGCAGGGAAGGAAAAAGCAGCACCTGTTACCTAAAGTGCCAAGAGAGGAAAGGTGGTGAGAGGGACAAGCCCTTCTCAGAGCTTTTTTCCCTTCCAACTGTGTCCTGTAGTTACTGACCTGTGTGATGGTCAGTGTGGTCCTGTTAACCTGCTGGGCTTGTAGGGCAGCCTGTGCCCGGGCCTTGACCACATGAGAGCACAGAAGAGGTCCTAGGGAACCAAAGTCTGTCCGAAAAGCATCCTGATTATCTGGTGGCGGCCGTAGCTTTGCCAGCACTGGGGCACAATGTTTCTGTGGAGGATAAGTAGGCTATGTGATCATATTTGGTTGAAAAGTAAGGAACAGGTAAGAAACCTATAAATGTATAAAGTGTGAAAGGCTAATCACGCTACAGGAGAATAGGAGTTCTCAAGCTGTGATTCATAGGCTCCTCTAGCTCAGGAATTCTTAACTGGGGTCTGTGAACTTGTTCTTAAAAATATTTTGATAATTATGTTTCAATATAATTGGCATTCTTTATAATCTTATGTATTTTTATAAATTTTAAAATACTATTTTGAGAAGGAGTCTATAGGCTTCACCAGACTGCCAACCAAGGGTCCATGACACAAAAAAGGTGAAGAATCTTGCCTGTGAAAATACCTCTATGGACAATCCCCAATTTACAAATAGGTCATGTTCTGAAAGTTTATGTTTCAAGTCAGTTGTCTGGAAAGGCTATATTCCTGGTTTACCATTTGTAGACCTACTTGAGTTAGTCTTTATACTTATATTTATACTTCTGTTTTCTAGCAACCTATATTTGAGCATTTACTTAATACATGTTAGTGCACAAATTAATAATTTGTTAAAGACATTCTTTGGTATCTTTACTAAAGTCTTATAAAAGTCATCACAGCATGGAAGTGGCCCTGGTTTTGCTAATGTTATACCAATGGAATCTAAGTTCTGGCAGATTTTATATCAATCGGAAAGGCTTTTTTTTTATTTTTAGTACCAGCCAGGCCATGTACAGTACCTATGTTTGTTTTGCCTGAAGAGGAAATTTTGCCCTTTCAAAACAGTGGACCAAATCATTTTGACCACTCCACAGTTTGGGGATAATAGGCAGTGTGTTCTAAGAGAAATAGCTGAATCAGGGTACCTTAGGTTTAGCTCTAATTGAGTATGTTACAGATAGGATCAAAAGTGCTTTACAAAGTGAACCATAAGAAAGGGGGAGAGAGAGAGAGAGAGAGAGAGAGAGAGAGAGAGAGAGTGTGAGTGAGTGTGTGTGTGTGTGTGTGTGTGTGTGTGTGTGTTTCAAAGACTTGGTCAGGAAAGAAGGCTCATCCACTGACCAAAAGGAGGCTCTGCACATGATCAGCTCCAATCCGGTCAATGTTGCTCAACACAGGGCCATCTAGGACACTTCGAATCCGCTCACCTTCCTGCTGAAGCCTTGGTAGAATCAGTGTTTTAATGACCTAGAGAGATAAGAAACAGCACCAGGTCACTACTAAGCTGCTCCCACACCTTGAGAACCACTCACCCCTTCACCCCCCCCACCCAATTTTCCCCTTCCTCAGAGACCACTCTTCCTTTTCCCTTTTCTCCCCAAGTAGCTTACATCGTGTCCAAGTTCTGCCAGGCCAGCGATAGAGCCATAGCGGGTAGTCCATGGAGTCTTCTCATCTACCCAGCTCTGCAAAGGGAGGAATATTAAAATAACAGCAAGGAAGGTAAGTAATGGAAGAGGAAAACAGGGTCCTGGTTAAGGCTATTAACCCCAAATCTGGTCCCTACCAGCCACGCCTACAATCCCTCACCCTTGATTCTAAGGAAAATCTTAAGTGCTAAGGAGACATTTTGGCTGTAGAAGTGAACTGAAATGCTCCCCCACTCATATACACACACCTTAGTGAAGGTCTTTGTGATCCGGGACTGGATGTTGTTGGTAGTTGTACTAAAATGTTTGCAGATCTGAGCTACTAGTCGAGCTGCAAAATCCCTGAGTGCCCAGTGATTATCTACATCTGGTCGAAGACACAGCTGTCGGCTCACGATACAAGTCATCACAGCAGGAATCAACTCATGTACCTGGGTGGGAAGAGCCAATTTCTGTGTATTGGGATCACTGAGATCTCAGTGGCAAGGGCAAGAATTATTAAGAAGCAAGAGTTTGAGGGAAAAAAGCAATGATGTGATTAAGAACCTACTCACATATTTCTCCAGGTACAGTGTTGGATTATCCATCAGAGCCTTCACCATTCGCATCAGGTAGATAAGTAGGGCCAAATTATTCTGAACAACATTCACACGTACCTAGGGGAGGAGATGGCAGAGGAAAAGAGGCAGAAGTTTATAGGGCATTAAAAGAGACTGAGGCCTTTCTTCTAGCCCCCTTTGCCCTCAACCCTCTTCTCACGACATTCCTCTTACCCCCTCAGAGATGAAAGTGCTAAACCTTGGCAGCATCTGATAAAGTCCAGGGTCTGTAGCAATGCTCTGGAGAGCTTCCTGTGTGGGAAAAGATAATAGCTTGGGGAAAGAAGAAATGAAAGGAAGAAGCAGAGAAGATGAGGCAGGATAAGATGGAGAAATGAGAAAATAACCCTGGAAAAGAGTAAAAGACCTGTGGGACTTTATGGAAATACAGCTCTTAAGGCATGATGTCTTACCGCTCTCTTGGCCTCACATGACCCTACACAGGCCTCAGTTATCTCCTTGTAGTACAGCTGCTGCTCCACAGATAACTCATGGATACTCCGAGGCTTCAGTCTCAGTGGGACACCCTCCAGCAGGGGTGGAGCTTTCTTTTCTTTCCCTGGCAGGGAATAGGAAGGTGGCAAGATAGCAATAGAATGAGTCTCATTCCTACTTGAAACCCAGTTTGCACCAAGGAAGACCTAGTTCCTAATTCCTGCCCCATCTTCTTCCCTCAAGTCTACTGAAGGGTCTATGAACCTTGACTCTTTTCTCCACCCCATACCCCTTTACCAACCCTGTCCTCCCAATCAGCAAGAATGAAACCTGAGTTTTAACCCCTCATCCTGCCTTGCTGACCTTTACCATCTGCTGATACAGCTCCTTGACCTTTGCCTTTCAGTGGTCCATCCTCTTCCTGTCCTGGCTTTGCCGATTTCAAGGGCTCTGTTGCTTCAGCCTTTTGCTGCTCTTTGGGAGCTAGGGACACAATAGGAATGAGCAACAAAGAGAAGTGAAATTAAGTCAGGGAATACCAGAAATAAATGGAGGATGGGGAAAAAAGGAGATAGTGTAACTTGAGGCAGGCTCTAAGGATTAGAGAACTAATGGGGGGCAGGAAATGAATAGAAGAAGGCTTACCTGGAGGTGGGTTCTCTGGGATAGCCGGCTGAAAACCCTCAATACTTAGCCAATGAGCTGGGAGAGAAGTGAAAGTCAAATGGTCTTAATCATTTAATCAGCAATCACTTAAGCAAGACTTAAAGGATATGCAATAATTTTTTAAGTGTAGGCACCTGTTCCATTAATATAACACCCCCCCCACCCTGTAACTTAGTAATATGGTCTTTGCTGTGGCTGAAATTTTGATTACCTTGTATCTAACCCACTGAGGAGCTTTTCCAACCCTGGCTAGATTGGTTTTTGGAGACCCTTCATGCCTATCCAGCTTAGCAGGACTTGGCTGAGCTCAATCTCCACACAAGTAGCCTTTTGAGAATCCAGGGTTGCTACCACAGCACAAGAAAACATTGGAGTATGACCTGATAATGGAGTCCACTCCTGCCACAACCTCCAATTTTCCCCAGGGTCTCAACCTTTGACTCTGATCAGGCCTCCCCACCTCTCCAAAATTCTTTCCTTCATAAGTCTCCTTATAATGCTTCTAAACATCTTCTATCCCTTT